CGGTGAAGACCCGCATTAGGCAGCACAGGCGGAGGGGTCTCTGTGCCGGATGCAAGCTCGGGCTCGCGGTCGCCCCCGGACGCGCGTACTCTGGTGTTTCCCCGGCCGCTCTCGTCATGGCCTTTGGTCTGGGCCTGGGCAGGGCAGGTGGGGGTGGAGAGGGGGTGTCGGCCAGGCCCACACCAGGACTGACCAGGCCGCGGGCTCACTTTCTGAATCGGCATTTCCTCGTCAGTCTGGCGCTAATGGTGTGTCAGGTGGTGGAGCGTCTGGTTCTAAACTTTACTGCCCGAGTGACCGTGTGCACGTCACTGACGCTCTGCCCGGGAAGCCCCCGCTGCGCCAGGCCGGCTGTCGGCCGCGCGGGCCCCTGTCCTGGGCAGGGGTGGTGTGTGCACGGCCACACTGCTTGTGCGAGGCGGGCTGGACTTTTGTGTTCTCTCCCTTAAAGGCTACTCTTTTCCTTTTAGTTTTATTCTTTTGTGACGTTGTCATTTTTGTGATATTGGGACTGCCTCCTGTGACCTAAGTCATTGTACAGTACGTCACACACCGAACCAGCCACACGCTGTGGAGACGTGGCCTGCTCACCGAGGTTTTAAAGGTAACAGGTCTCCTTTCTGTTTTCCTAACAGGGTAGTGTTCCGGACGGAGCACCTGCACTGGATGGAATTTAGCATCAAAAGGGTCCCTTTTTCTGCGCAGAACGTTGTCACGTGCGTCAGGATGAAGCAGGCGCCGGAGACCCTGGGCGGCTCCGCGGGGAAGCCCCCGGGCTGCGACGTGAACCGCGAGTGCTCCGTGCTCCTGGGCAAGGCCCCGCTCTCCGCCAGCCTGCAGGAGGGCGTCGTGCAGAAGTTCAACAAAACTGTGCCCTCCTGGTTCGTAGGTCGATGAGCCACGCCGGCCTGGTGGAATTTTTTGATTCTTTCAGATTTTTTGCATATGTGAGTGATCATGTTATCTGTGAACGAAAGATAGTTTTATTTTGCCCCGACCATTGTGACTCAGTGGTTGGAATGTCATCGGGTCACGAACTGAATGAAGGGTCATGGGTTCGATTCCAGGTCAAGGGCACATACCTGGGTTGCAGGTTCGATCCCTGGCCCTGGTTGGGACACGTGGGAGGCAACCAGTGATGTGTGTCTCTCACATCAATGTTTCTCTGCCCCCTCCCCTTCTCTCTCCCTTCCACTCGTTATAAACCAATGGAAAAAATGTCCTCAGGTGAAGATGAACAACAACAACAAAAGATTTATTTCTCCCTGTCCATTTTGTATACCTTCCACTTTTTCTTATTGCATTACCTAGGATGGCAGAGTATTCTTAAAAAACTGTTATTGATTGATTTGAGAGAGAGAGAAACACGTGTTTATTGTTGTACTTATTTATGTGTTCATTGGTTGATCCCCGTATGTGCCCTGACGGGGATCGAACCTGCAACCTTGGCCCATGGGGACTGTGCTCTGACTCACTGAGCTGCTGGGCAGGGCCGTGTACCACCCCTTTATCCACTCACCTGTGGGTGGACCCTTGGGTGGCTCCCGTGTCTTGGCTATTGTTAACAGCCCTCAGCCGTCCACGCCCACCCCGTCGCTGCTGTGGAGGCTGCAGGCTGCCCACGGTGTCTCCACCTCCACACGCTGTCCTTCCCGGCCGGAC